TCTCTGCTCTTGAGCACAAGACCGACAGCCTCGCAGACCAGCTGCGCTCCCAGCACCAGGAGGTTGCGGGCCAGCTCACCAGAATCCTCGGCGCCCTCAAGCCGACCCGGGATCAGGGAGCTCCCGACCCCCCGGCGAAGGCGCCTCGTGTGTCGTCTTGACTAGGCCGTGGGATTCGGCCAGTGCATGCTTTCTCTTTTGCCCCCGTCTTTTGGTTCGTCCATGTCCTTCTTGCCTGTTGCGCCTCCGGCGTGATGGCCTTCGATTCCACGTTGGGTTTTCCGGGTGAAGGCCCCTTCATCCTTGGGTCTCACAACATTGGCAGTTTGCAATCGCACCCGGAGGTCCTGTCCTCTGTCGGTCACCTCCTGTGTCTTCAGGAGACCCGGATCTCTGATGCCAATGTTCGTACTTTAACATTTCAGGCCAACCGGAAGGGCCTGTCTCTTCTGCCTGGCCCCCTCCTGGCCCACTCCCAGGATGCCCGGGGGGCGCTGCGTGCTGATTGGGGTGGCGTTGCAGCTCTTTCGCAAAACTGTGCCGTGCGTGCGTTGGAGGCCGATCACAGTGGTCTCCTCCCTCAGCTGCTTGCAACTGGCCGAATTCAGGTTTTTTGGATTGCTTTTGGCGGTGTCCACGCCCTGTGTGTCAACTACTATGCTTCGACTCGGGCTGCCAAGAGTGAAGTCCTTTTCGAGAACAATCGCACCCTTACGTCCGTCTTTGAGCTCCTCGCTCAGTTCCCCGGTGTCCCACACCTCATTTGTGCCGATTTTCAGGCGATCCCCGCCGAGTATCCGGCCGTTGCTGCTGCGCTTGCGACCGGGCGGTGGTTGGACCCTTTGGACCAGGTTGATGAACAGGGGGCTTCTACTCGCCCCCCCACTTTTTGCCGGGACTCCGCCTGGCCCGCGGAAGCCCCTCTCACTAGCATTGACTCCGTCCTTCTGAACGACGTGGCGTGGAGATCGCTCAGTGCGTGCCGTCTTGATGAGTGTGCGGGCTTTCAGCATGCGGCCCTCCACCTTGAGTTTGCCGGGGATATGGAGATACCTGTGGCTCCGCGGTGGGAGCACCACGCCCTCTTGCACCTTCATGCCTTGCAGCCCTCGGAGGATAGGCACCACATTGCCGATGGTCTCTGGAATACTACCTTTGCGTGTCGGCTGCAACCGTGCTCTACGCCCGACGAGCTTTTAGCCCTTTTTCACGATTTCTCCACTGCTACCCTTACTGCCGCTGGTGCTACCTGGAGCCATGGGCCCCGGTCCCGGGGTACGCTCCCCCCTCTTGTGGCGTCCCCTGTTACCAAGAAAGCCTCTCGGGAGGCGGCCAGGGACGCTTTGTGGGCCAAGCTGTTGCGCCTCGTTCGGGAGCTTGATCACAGGTTGCCTCGATTTGCCACGGCTTCCCCGGGGGATGCTGCTGCCACCCGGTGTGTCCTGGCCAAGGCCCGTCGGCTTGCGGGTGAGCTCCGTCTTCGTGTCGGCCAGTGGCTTGCCGCCCCCGATCTGCTCCCGGACCTACACAAGGCCCTCAGGGCCGCGTGGCACTTGGAGGTTGGCCGCCGGAAGCAGGCTGCCATTCGTGCCTGGCGTTCCCGCATTGCTGGTAGCGTTTGGCAAGGGCAGGGAGATCTTCGCCCATTTGCGTGCCCAGGGCCCCTTGCCCCGGTCCAATGTCATCACAGATCAGGACAATCGCCCTCTGCATTCTCCTGCCCGCGCCCTGTCCTTTGCGGCGGATCAGTGGAATGGCATCTTTGGGTGCCACGATCCTCCCCCCCCCGTGGACACGGCCTTGGCGCCGTTCCGCCCGCTCCTTGAGGCCCGTGCCCACCCCTGCTGCATCCCTCGCATCACCGCGGAGCATCTTGCAGCTACGTGCAAGCGGCGCAAGCCCTCGGCTGCCGCTGGGCTTGATGGCTGGACTACTCCTGAGCTCCAAGCTCTCCCCGTCTTGTGTTTTGAGCCCCTCGCGGAGCTCTTTCGCCGAATTGAAAATGGCCAGTGCCAGCTCCCTCGTATCTTGGCAACGGCGCGTCTCGCCGTCCTCAACAAGGGTGATTCGGATAAGCCGCTGTCCAAGCGGCTCATTGCGGTCCTCCCCGCCCCGTACATCTTGTGGAGTAGTACGCGGTTTGCGCACACGGCTGAGTGGCAGCAGCGCGTCTTCCCTGCTGCCTTGAGTGGCGGCATCAAGGGCCGTCAGTCCCGGGACGTCACGCACACCTTGGCTCTCATTCATCACGAGTGTCACGCTACGGCTACCCCCTTCGCTGGTGTGCAAGGCGACCGCTCCAAATGTTTTGACCGTGTCGTTCCTGAGATTGCTGCTGAATGTCTTGTTGCGCTGGGTTTTCCTCGGCAGATTTTGCGCCTGTGGACCTCGATGACCAACCAGCTCACGCGCTACCTGACGTGGCAGGGCAGTGTTCATCCTGCCCCCCTCACCAACCGCAATGGTATCCCCCAGGGATGCTCTCTCAGCATTTTGGCCATCAACGGCATTATGACTGCGTGGTCGCTGGTCGTGCAGCAGGTGCCGGGTGTGCGCCCCTTTGCCTTCATCGACGATACCTATTTGATCACGCAGGAGACGTCGGAGCTTGAGCAGTTGCCGGTTGCCTTTCAGGTGTCTCAGCTTGCGGATGCGGTGCTGGGTCAAATCTCCAACCCTGCCAAGTGTGGGTGGTGGGTCAGTGATGATCGCTATGCCCCACCCTTGGCTCTCGCTTTTGAGGGCATGCCTCGCCTTCAAGTCTTGCGCCCCCTCGGTGTCACTATCCACCTCAACCAGCGTGGTACTCCCGGCTTGAGGGACTCTGCGATTGACCGTTTCCGGGAGGCGATGCGTGCCATTGACACCCTTCCTGTCCCGCCCAAGGTCAAGGCCCGCTATGTCGCTTCTAAGGCCATCTCTGTCCTGGCCTACGCCCCGGAGCTCAACGTCATCCCCGGCAGGGTGCTGGACACCCTTTGTGCTCGGGTTGCTAAAACGTTGTGGGGCAAACGCCCGCATTGGCGCCACCGTGATCTCCTTCTCACTGTCGTGTATTCGGCCCATCTTGTCCATCCGACCTTTGCGTTGGCCATCCGGGTCATCTCCAATGTGGTTGCTTCTGTGCAGCAGGTCCCGGAGTTGTCTCTCTTGTGGTCGTTGGCGTTCACCAATTCCCGCCGCCCTCGTGCTGCTCTCCCGGCCCATTTCGAGCATGCCTGTCGGGCCCTTGGTCTCGGATTCCAGGCTCCTCATGTCTTGTCTGTCCTCCCGGGCTTGTCCTTTTCTGTCAGGAACACCCCCCGGCGGCTCCTTGTCCGCCTGCTCAGATGGGCGGCCCCCTTGCAGGGCTTACCGCCTTGCTTGTGCCTCGGATCGGAAGGACATTGTTTGTGGCCCCACCGGGATCCTTGATGTCCATGTGACTGCGATCCCTTGGCGTCTTCCTCCACGCAACGCGTGGCGGGCCTTTGCGCGTGCCTTTCCTCTTGATCCTGTTGTTGCTGAGGCGGTCGTTACTGGGTCCGCTCTCACTGCGGATCGGCTGTTTCGCGCCGGGTTTGCGGACTCTCCTCAGTGTCGCTTTTGCAGCCGGGCCATTGAGACTCTGCAGCACCTTGTTGAGTGCCCCAGTGTTGCCTCCGCCCTTGGACACCCGCCCCCCCTTCCGCCCGGACAGGGCCCGGCCTTTGCTACTCATGCCTTGGTCGAGCTCTCCCCTGCCCTCCTCGGATGGCTTGTACATAGGAGCGCCCCCCGCCCACTGTGTCAGGTTCACCAAGCATGGCTTCATCGAACTTTGGACGGATGGCTCTGCTTTTGATTGCACCCATCCTCTCTGTGCGGTTACACCCTATGCGGTTGTCAATGCTGACCGGCGCACGCTTGCTGCTGGAGAGGTGCGTGGCGCTTTTGCCAACAACTATGTGGCGGAGGTTGCGGCGATTGTGATCGCTGTGCATGGTGCCGGTTCTTCAGTTTGTGTATACACTGATTGCAACGCTGCTGTGCAGGTGTGGCAGTCCATGCGGACCTCTCGGACGGTCCCTTCGCATGCTGCGGCGGCTGACTTGTGGACCCTTTTCTGGGAGGTTGTGCATCACAAACAGGCAGCTTTGCCGGAGTTTTCGGTTGAGCTTCAATGGACGCCGGCGCACCAGGACCTGACCCAGCTCCGTGGACGGGCCCTTCAACATGCTTTGTGCAATGACGCTGCTGACCGGGCTGCCAAAGCCGTTGCCTCCAGTGTGCAGAGGGTCCCCATGCGCGAGCTCGACACCTTGTTCTATGCGACCTGGAGGAGGCAGAGGTGGCTTCAGCAGCTTTATAGGTTGCTGCCTGAGTGCAGCCCGTTCCATGCGGCCGAGGAGGTTGACCCGTCGGCTCCCCTGGGAGCCGCCTGGTTGGTGGCACTGCGCTCCGAGGCAGTGGGCTGCGGTTCGCGATTTTTTCGCACAGGCTGAATGGCGGGTTGGTGACTCTGAGTCCATCTCTTTGCACGAGCTCGTCATCTACATGAACCACCGCTTTCCGTTAGCGGTGCACACGCCGGGGCGTGTCACTGTCGTTGCGGCCCAGGTCAAGTGGGCCCGCAAGGCTCTTGGGGTGATCCGTGGGCGGTGCGGTGATCCCTCGCCGGGGGTGTGGAAGCCGTCGCAGCAGCGGAGCTTCGGTGTGTGCTTTCCCAAAGGCATGTACGCCGGGGCCTCTCTTGTGGTGTCAGGCGGTGAGCGCGAGCTGCTTGCCCAGGCTTTGGCTCGCGTCCATCGCAAGGGGCGGACGCCCCGCGATTGGGACTTTGCCCTTGGCTAACACGGCCAAGGTGTGTTTTGGCCTCGGCGCCGGCAGGCCCGGAGGTCGGCACTCGCTCGACGCGTGCGCCCGTGAGATAAACATCGCCTTCTTCTTGGCTCAAGGGGAGTTTCCCCCTTGTGGGGGTGCTATTTTAAGGGGAAATACGGAGATTCTCCGTCACTTTTTCTCTGGCAAGTCTCCGCCAGGTGGTGGGTGCTGTGGTCCTCGGGTGTGCCCTCCTCTTGGCGAGATCAGGTTTGCGAAGGTGCGCGGGGGGGAAGGGAAGGCTTCGACCTCTTCTCCCGAGGCCCCTGTTGTTTTGAGGCTGCGTCAAGCAATAGGCAGGGGCAAGCCCGTTTTCCCCGACAACCCGCAGGCAAGTTTGAATTTCAAGAATTAGGCCGGCTTTGAGCCAATGTGCAAAAGCTGTCCAATAGCATGTCCATATTTTGCTGAAGAGGTCTCCATGTAGTAATCAACCTGCAAACACAGGCATGTGCCGAGGAAGGCGGTCCAACAAGATCAAAAGGAGAAGTGCAATCAACTTGTTGTTTGGCCAAACAAATATTGTCCGGGTTTGGCGGTATTTGAGCCACGCTGCGGACCTGTTTCAATGAGATCTGTGGATGTTCAAGCAGTGCGTGAAGTATGTTGAAACCGGTGGTAGTTGGCAGCAGGAGTCCAAACCAGGGAGCGGAACCAGGGGAAACACCCGATGTCCGTGAAGGAGGAAAGGCGATCCATGTACAATATTCGGAGTCATGATAGTGGGAACAATGAGCACGAGATTGGCATCCTGCCCATGGGAAGTGGACGGTGGGGAAGGGCCAACATGAAAGAAGAAGTTCAATGTGCCATGAGCAGAGCAATGAAACTGCAGTGTTGTATTTAAGGAAGGGGATGCAAATTTATTGCTGGAGGTGGCAAGATAAAACAGGGGTGCCCCGAAAGGGCAGCTCCCTCCATAAGGTGGCCTTCATGAAGCCATCCAGCGCAAAGCTTTGCGACGCCCGGAGCTTTCCTCTATGCTGCTCCCAAAAGCACAAAGGGCATGGGCGCTGTTTGTTTTTGCCGGTAGGGTGTGGAAGAATGCCCACGTGGAAAGGCATTTTTGGTTGGCACCATTCACCACCGGCCGGGTCCGCGAGGCACTTCAAGAAGCGCCAGAGCCCGGGTTTTGAACAATTCGTGTGAAGTTTGATCAAGACCCGGGTCAATGAAAATGCAGACCACGGCCCATTTGGGTGGGCCTGGGGCCGATGAGGATTGCTCCGTTCCGCAATCTCGACGTTGCATGCAGAAATTGCTGACAATCAGCTTCGCAAGAGACAGCCCAATCTCCGAGCATGCACGGTGTGCAGCTTGATGTTATGAGGATGGTCTTTCCTGTTCGCAAGACAATCGGACAACGGTGACGAATTGAGGCCCAAGAGCCATTTGGGAGCCACGCCCCAACGGAGTTGTGAAGGTGCACAAGCATCCATTCAGAGTTCAAGCCGAGACACTCCTACCAGGGTTTGCACATGTTCTTTGGCTCACGACCATGGTCTTTTTACAAGTAGGAGATAGATGAGGATGTGACTTGATCAAGAGGGGCTGACATATATCAAGGGTTTCAACCTGCCGGCAACCGCCCCCGATGAGTGTCGCTCCTCCGCCCTGAGGGACGGGGCCGCTGAGAATGGCGATGCAAGCGACGGCACCGAAGGCCAGGAAGGATGCGCATGGACTCGACAGGCTTCTTTCCCGGCCCAAGGGGCTGGCAGGACCAAATTTTGCCTAAGGGCTTGGGGCAAAAGCGGGTTGCGATTCGGGATTCCTGATGAGGCTAAGCAGGACACTATGACAACAGGGCGCAGTTGCGTGACAATGGCGGGGTTTCATTGCTGGCCTTTTGTTCGTTTTGTTGGCGTGGAGGTCCTATGTTAGGCACACAATTTGATTGATGGTTTGGGTGGTTGGAAAGCCCGAACGGAGACGACGCATTCTGAGTGGGCTTCCCCATTTGAAGACAACGCCGATTTATATCACAAGGAGGATTGAAGCCGTGGCCGGGGTTTGACGGAGTTCGCGAAGAAGTTTGTTTGTTTTGCGAAAGATCTGCGTACTTTGGGTTCTTGGAGATATGCCCTTTGCCCTATTGTGCGCTTACATATTTGCAGACCCATTCCGATTCCTCTTGTATACAGGGAGCTGTGCAGCACCTTTACTTGCATCGTTGATTCCCAGCCTGCGCCAAGCCTCTCCAACGTTGCCCCGTGGAAACCGTCGGAAGGAGTTCCTTGTTCTAAGCGCTAGGCACGTGTTTGATCGCCTGCCGGCAGGCGCCAGTTGAGAGCCAGGTGTTCCTGGGCCCAGGCCCGGGTCAACCCGTGGAAGTGGGGGCCCCCCAAGGGGACGGTAGTCTTCCCAGACCTTCCTGTCCATTGGAAGGAGGGCAAGGAGGCAGGCCTGCTGTTTCAATTTCTGGGTGGGTCTTTCCCCCCTCAGCCACTGGGCAAGAAGCACTGAGGCCTTATGGGCTTATCGTGAGGTGTTTATGCCCCTCAACCCTCGTGCTCATGATCCACGATATGAAATCTGAAAAGCAAGCTTGAAACACAAAAGCTATTTCTCTATCTGCTGTTTGACCTGCGGTTGTTGTAGCGGAAGTTTCTCTTTATGACCCACAATGCAACGGCAGCAGAATACAATCAACGCACTGTGGGCGCGATCCCAGGTATGTTTTTGCATGTCAACAAACAAGTCATGTGAGGCACGGTTGGAACCTAACATGCAAGCAGGGGACATCCACGAGCTCAAAGTGATTGGGAAAAGCGTTCCGGGAGACTCTCAAGCAACGAGAGTTACCGCTACGCATGAACCTTTTTGGGACTCCCTGAGTTTGGTCTGATCGGCTGTGTCAGGCGTAGTCAGAATGTTTTGATGGGATGTCATGCATAGGGTGTCGGGGCTCTGTTCAAGGGTCAAACAGTTTCCACTCTTTGAGCCAACCCCTCTTGCAACCAGGCCAACTCTCTCGCCTCTGACTGACTGATCCTGGGAAGAATTGCAAGATGCCAGCAAATGTGAAAACCAGAAAGAGTCTTCATGCCATGGATGACAATGTTTGGCCGAGCGTTGCCTTGAGGAATCCAAGAACAGGTGGCAACGGCCCAGCCTTGGCTTTGCCAGGTGCAGAGGCCTTGGCACTGCGAGGTGAGGCAAAGAGAGCAGGGGCCCTCGGCCGGAAATTTGATTTCTTGCGGGCCAAGGCAGGGGTAGTTTCCCAGTAAAGCGTGTCGCTAGACGGATGACGTTTTGGCAAGACCATCTTGGCAGCAAAAAATGAAGGGATGTTGTCGAGGCCGATTCCGATTCACTCAGGAAGTGAGAGGTGCACGTGTGTTTTCTTCTTTTCTTGCTTGCCTGGCTGCCTGCCTGCTGGCTGGCTGGCTTGCTTGCTTGCTTGCTTGCTTGCTTGCTTGCTTGCTTGCTTGCTTGCTTGCTTGCTTGCTTGCTTGCTTGCTTGCTTGCTTGCTTGCTTGCTTGCTTGCTTGCTTGCTTGCTTGCTTGCTTGCTTGCACCGTCAGCGCCTATCCACCAAACAGCCAAGGCATGTCTCTTGCCCCTCGGGCCAGTTTGAGGAAGCGTATCAGATGATGGACCCTTCAGGAGGTCTGCGGATTGCATAGTCAGAGTGCCCGTGGCCCTTGGCGAAGAGTCGCAAACACCAATGTCTCGGGGCTAAGCATGGGGTAAAGCGGAGAAATCAGGCACTCCGAGCGATCTCCCCTGAAGCCCACGCCTCGTCTACCCTTCTTTACTCGATGGCGCCACGGAATACTTTTCTTCGGTTTGGGCTTGATGCGTGAGCACATCTCGGTTCAGTCGCTGGTCCAGAAACGAAAAAGCCGCTAATTTCGTCTGGCTGGCTTCCAGTTGCTCCCTGCATCAATAGTGAGTGTCGCTTTCCAGAGTTGGGGGCACCCCCAAGTTTGAAGAGCAGGTGCTGGCACTGGTGCTGGCATCAACCCAACAAGTTGATTTGTCAGATGTTTCCTCATTCTGACTTTTTGTCACAACTCATTGTGTGGATTGTGTCGTCGACTGCTTCCTTAGCATGTATCATAAGGATTGTCTCAAGTTCATGCTAAAGAATGGAGGATCATAGTTATTGATCCCAAGGTGAACACGTTTTGGCTAGCGCTCACTGCTCATGTTACCACCAGAGTGTTCGGAACTTGAACATCATGTCAAAAGCATGACATAGTGTTTGGTTGACTGAAACACTGCTTGCTGCAATCCGCCTTTTTGTCTTCGGGGAAATACTGGCACATGAAACCCATTGATTCTCCAATCATCCATCTTCCAAGACTGAACTGCAGGCTGGGCCAGTCTTCGACTTCTCGGCATGGGGCTCAAACCTCACAATTCCAGCTGGCACAGCTTGGTTTTGACATGCCCAACCAGCAAGAAGTGCACGGACTGGCGTAGCCTCAACAAAGGACGTTTCGTGTGCAGGTAGAGGCAGAAGGGACACAGCTGACGCCCCAGTTTTTGCCCGTGTGGAGACGTTCTTGACTTCAGGTGAGTGTGAGCGATTCAGGCAGGAACAGATTGGGTGAGGTTGTCCGAACTCTAGCTGGCTGGCTGGCTGATTGACTTGTTTCCTGCTTCTGGACAATCAGGGCTCGCTTGCCTGGTGCACGGATGCTTGTTGGCTTGCGTTGCCGAGAGACACGCGGGCTAAACATGGACGCTTGGAATTCCTCGAATGCTTGGTCAACTAACTAACCTCCTTGGGAATATTGAGGCCACATGAAACATGACCTCCCGCTGTGTCACTTACTCCTTTGACCATAATATGGCTTCTCAGGTTTGGGTAAGAGTCGGCACAGATGTTTCAATCAGCAGCTTTAAACAGCACGGGACTGGGAAGTTCCTAGAAATGCCTTTGCGGGTAGCGGAAGGCCGAAGGAGAAGCAGAGGGGTCCGATTACGGGCTGGTTTGGTTGGGGAGAACCTTTCCAATATCCATGGCGCGTCTTTTTTGGTGGGTACCCTTTTTAGGTGGGGTTATATAAAGGGAAACCACAAGGAAAGCCGAAGCCATGTTGGGGAAACCCGGAAGAAAGAGACACGCATTTGGTTGGCAGAACACCAGCATTAGGTCCAGACGTCTCTTCGAAGCCCCACCCTCTCCTTGCTTCAAGACTACTATAGAAGCTTGGTCAGGCCTCTTTCGAGTGTTTTCCCTGGGAAAGGCTGAGGGTTTCGCTACATCAGGCCCCCAAATGCGTTGAACACCTTTCTGGGATTCCATGTTTATTTTGAATTGATACCGGTCAAAATCAGAATTGTCTCGAAACGGGACGATGTCACCCCAACTTGAGTGGTTTTCCTTTGGCTTCTCTTTCCCAATAGTTAACCTCCAAATTGGGATGGCTGGGTATAGGGGCAGGCGAAAACTGATGTGCTGCCCTGTCTGCCTGTTTGCTCGTAGATCCCAGTTGCCAGTGACCAGCCATTGAAACACCGTGGTGTTCAAAGGTTCTTTGGTTACCTATGTTACCTGCAAAACCAAGTTCATGGAATGACGCAAAGGGTTTCCCTTCGAACAGCCCCCGCTGGCCGCTTGCTAGGGCGGAAGCTGCCGTCTTCCGTGGACCTGGCCGATGTGGACCCGAAGATCGCCGCGAAGAACTGGCCCAAGTGACCCGACCTTCTTCGTCCCGTTGAATGCTTCCATTTGCGTTTGAGGCGTCTCAGGGGGTCTTGTGTTCCCTGTTGATTTTAATCGGAATCAATCAGTCACTACTGGCACTGGACATATTGTTATTTTTGCCAGGGGACTTCAGCAAATGGAAGAAGGGTATGATAAAAGCAGCCACTTGAGAAGGTTTGGGCTGGGATCCTGAAGAAACCCGTGATTTTACCGTTTATCTTCAAGGCAACAAGATGAAACCAACTGGAAGGGGGGCTTGTGGTTTGGACATGTTTTGACATGCCCTAATATCTCGATTGGGCTTTCGTTGGTGGATTTGGCCGTCAGTTTGTCGGTCCGCTTTTGAATTGTGTCTCAAGACTGGTTGGATACAAGCAAACGGTGGGTTTCAACAACTGCCAACATAATCCAATATATTTGAGTCAGTGGCAATGCAGTTGCAAAGCGCCGCATGGCGCAAATCCGCATTGGCCGGTTGGTTGAGACGCCAATGTCTCAGAAAGGCGGAGCTCGTCCTTCTCAGCTATATTGAGCCATGCTAGAAGGGTGTAATCGCGTGTCCTTGGATCGGTTTTCCTCACCCCAAAAGAATGATCCATTGAATCCATGGATCTTGAGACCGTGTTCTGAGTTTGTCTTGGGAGGGGAAAGAGAATCTCTATTTTTCTGGGCCGGATGGTTTCCAGCAAGATCGACAAACTGATAGAACATTTGCTTGGTTTCTCATTGCTTTGCCCCTGCCCTTATGCCTAGGAGCAAACGGGCTGCTGGCAAAATACACGGCTAAAACGCCTAGCATCCCTTCTGCGAGTACCGATCTTTTCAAAGCCACGGCATCCGTGCGGAAAAAGCCTCGAGGATCGTTGTCAGAGCAGGCCAACAAAGTCAGACTTGTCCAATGGATGTTGAATTTGTTTCGTAGGTCCACCTCTTCGGGCAGCCGCGCTTCGTGGCAACTCAACCCGCCAACTTTATCCATTGGTCCGTTCGGCTGCAGATGAGACAAATGTGTATCAGGCCCCGGGCATGGTTTTCACTGTCCGTGTTTCCCTTGGACGCAGCACCGTGTTTTGGAAGGAGAAGGACTTTGAGACTAAAAACTAGGGCAGCTGCAGGAAGGGTCTGCATATTTGAAAGCGACCAGCACAGCTGCGCGGTGTGCGTGTGTTTGTGGTTGGCACAAGCTTTTCATGCCAGCCCTCATGTTCAGCCAGGTATATGTTCGAGAAGCCAAAGGACAGGGGATGCAATTGCACAAAGAATGGCCGCTGCTGTCATATGCCCGGTTGCCGAGTGGCATGTTAGTTTCCTGCTTTTCGGAAGTGCCCCTTGCAAAGTAAGTCAATGAGAAAGGGTGCTTGAATCGAGGCCACTGGGCAAGTAAGAATCACGACAGGTCTTTGAGTTAAGTCAAGCCTCATCTCCTGCACAATGTGTGGTACATGCAGAAGCAGGCATGAGAGCAACCTCTTTGTGCGTTTGTGATCTCTTTGCTTCCTATAGCCGAGTTGCCCAAAGCTTACTCATGCCCCAAAAAGAGCACAACCTTTCGATTGCAGGTCCTGTGAACGCATTCAATCATCAGGACTGGCTGTTTTAGTCTTCGCCGCTCAGATTCACCCAAATTCTATGAACCGCAGGCTGCCAATCTTCCGAAATAACATGGAGGGTTGACCAACTGCCCTTGTTTGGCACCCCCATGGCAAGGCGCTACGAGATGATCCCCCTTAAAGAGCCGGCGCCATGTGTGTGTGTGTGTGTGTGTGTGTGTGAGTGTGTGTGCGTGTGTGCGTGTGTGTCACTTCTCCAATATCATTGTGCTCGGGGCTTGCCATGTTGTATGCATCAAGATGAGCAATGTAGGCTATGGTCAACCAAGTCTTTACTTGGGATATGCTTAACACCTAAGGCAACCATAGCCATGACCATGCCCCGCGAAAGAACTTTTGATGGAGTCAGTCCAGCGACCCGGGCCGCAGGGCCGCATCGAAAATGGCATCGTCCGACCAGATCTTCCCAACGCTTGCCGTATTTTCCGAGTGCTGCCAAAGTGAGCCAGAGAAATCGTGGGCAGATTTCGGCTGCGTTTTGTCTTCAAAGCGGCGTACCCCCCTTTTTTCGTTTGGGTCTTTAGAGCCACCCCAAAAGATGCCTTCAACAAAGGGCCTGAGAAATTCTGCCGGCGCTTATGCAGAGCACAGCGTGCCATTCGTCCAGAGCTGGGAACTGCGCGTCTTTGCGCTCTCTCAGAGCAGGCCCAATTTGTATTTGTTCTATGTATATATGTTCTCAAAATCGGGGACCCTTCCGGTGGTTGGTGCCCTTTTGAACAACAGCCTAAACACATCCACAATTGGGCCCCTAATTTGAGAAACCACCCATATGTCAGGATGTCAAACTTGACCTGCCCTTTAAAGGCGGCACAACATGTCGCCGAGACAACACCTAATTCAGGGCCCTAGTGTTTGCAGCAACATGTCTATTATGTGCTAAAACTGAAGAAGCAAGTGGCTAGGTATGCTGTGCTTGCGCCTTGCGGGAGGGATCTTGACAGGGCATCTTCTGGCTACGGCTGCAACCTCTCCGCTTTAATTTGTACAGGTTGCAGGTGACGTGCAGCTTGGGACTGGCTGCATGAGTCTGTGCCCCCCTGCTGTATTCCATGTACATATCTGGCATCGCCCAGCTCTCACTGCCCTGTGAGCCTGGAGTTCACAATGGCAGTCATGCAGTCGCCCAAGATACACTGGGAGAACCTCCAAGCTCCTGAGTATTTCTGATGTCCAAGCTGTAAATGAGCGACTAGGGGCTGGTTTCAAGGAACCCATCTACTCTCCTCAGAGTGTCCTGTTTCATGGGCGGTTCGTTTCGACCGGCGATGATGCAACAGTCAGAATCGCTGGGATTCCATAGTGCGGTGTGATCGCAGACGTTTGGAGTTGAACATCGTCAAGGTGTTGGACGCACGCCGAGTAGGGGCAAGCAATAAACCCCAGAATTTCACTTGTTCATGGTAAAGAGGTCCAACATGACCTACCCCTCCCCCTGCCATGGATGTGTGCAAAGCCGCTGCGCTTGGTGAGGCATTGACTTAGGGAAAGTCCAGTGACCCGCATTAATTGAGAGACGAACGCTTCCAGAACCTTTGATTTCATTTCCCGCACGGGGTCGTGCTGAAGCCACTGATTTCCCATGCTGAACAAGAGCCACAGTAGGCTCAAAGCGCCAGGGGGACAAGTGATTTAAATGAAACCCAGCAAACCAGAAAACACCACCTACGCTTGCCAAGCTCCGAAGATTGGCTGAATTTGGTGGAAGCACCCCAGCAAACCCAGAGCAAAACGACGTCCATAAATCGGCCAAATCCTGGCAGCTTTTGTAATCATGGCCCAACAACATGCCAACTTTAGCTTGCAGAGCACCCAGCAAACAGAGACATGAACAGATGGCATAGCAAGAGGTGAGCAGCCAGCGCTTGACACGCCATGCCAGAAGTCACCGTCAATTGCCTATCTGGGCAGCAGTTCTGTGTAGAGCTTAGCACTGGGCGAGTGGCACGCAATTCGGCGTCTTGAGCAGCATGAGCGTGAAGGCTTGTGAGGCTGGGAAAGGCTGTTTGGTTGTGTTTGTTTGGGTATGCTTTGTTGGGGTGGTGTCAACGACCATTGTGCTAGGGCTCGACTAAGCCCCCTGCCGCTTGAGAAAGCACCCCCCCCTGACAGAAAACTCACTGCAACAGGCTCAAGGCGTTGCCCAACACCCACATCCGAGGCTTCGAAATCAAGGAGGAGGACACGGTGGACGTGCTGAGGCAACGAGTCGCTGAGAAGTGGTCCGAGCCCATCTTGGCTCGCAACGTGTGCGCCGCTCGGCTAAAGGTTGGTGTCCTTGTTTGAGAGTTCCCGGTTTGGGAGGGGCAACACCATTCATGTGGGGGAGAGGGGGGTTTTGTATGGTGGACACTGGGGCCTATTTGCAACCACCCTGCTTGTGTTGGCTTGGCCGCGAAATAGCCTGGTGTCCATGGCACAGGCAGGTGTTCACTGTAAGAAACCACTCAAGGGCATTTTGGGGGTCCGAATCCTAAACATGGACCAGCCATTTGGCGTGACCAGGGGGAGGACAGCCTTCAAGAGCAGCGAGGGGTCACTGAGAGGAGAGAAGAGGAGACTCTTTCGCGATCTTTCGCGGGGCAAAACAGCCCTCCATGCATTGAAATTTAGGTGTTTGCTGGGTTGTTTGGGGACTCTGATTTCTCAATCCTGGTTGCAGGTGATGGGACTTATGCTTTATTTTCTGGGACAAGCCGCGTACGTTTCAACAATGCTGGTTTGGACATAGCAGCCCTGCCTTGAAAGCCAAAGGGCCAGTTGAGGTACTGGGCCCCAACGGGGACATCCAGGCAGGGTCGTCCCCGGTGGACACATCTGAGGTCTCAGCTTCTTGGATGCAAATTCCCGGCGAATGTGCCCTGAACGCGACCTTTGCCCTATACGGGGCACCGTTCTAAATTGACCGAATTGGTGAGCAATTGAAGGGGAATCGTGGCCGGGGATAGCTTCAAGGCACCCCTGACAGGAGAAGCCTTTGAAGCCTAAAAGTTCCCTTCGAGGATGTCCTTAAACCATGGAGACATTTGGAAGTTTCCTTTTAAAGCCACCGTCTGAGCTCTCGGCCCGAGCCTTCCAGCGGTGGAGCTGAGACAGCTGAAAGCGGGCACACCCTTTGCCATGGACCTTTGACTGTTTGGGCCGACCTCGGTCCGCATAGGGCAGCAGATCTCGGGTGTCTTCCAACTGTGAGATACCCTCCTGGGTCAGCGTCATTCACATGCCTGGTTCAGAGGTGGAAGGTCGCTTCACCATCTACAACCTGCAGGTCGATGAGTTCTCGCCACTTTGGAGCCTTTCTGGCATTTCGGACACTGGGGAGGCAAGGACGCCCAGGAACCAGCCGCCAGACCTGACCTTGATGTTGACTGGGCCGATACGGTAGGGTCACTTGAGCTTGGTTGAAGCTGCACCGATCAACTGGAGAGGCTTGCAGGAGGCAACCAACCGGATACGCCTGCAAGAGACGTCCACCCGTTCCTACCCAGTCGCCTTCATTAGGTATGTCGCTGAGCAGCTTGATGATTTGGACTGTGATCAGGAAGGCTTCGGGCCCACCAGCTACATCGGGCTCACGTTCTTTCGAACCTGCATGTTTTTTACCCGACCAGCCTGATGCCGAGACCTGTGCCCCAAGCGCAGCTCCTGTGTTTTTCCCTTTTTCTTTTTGTTTGCCCACCTTGAGTGACCTTGCCAGCAACTGCCTGGCATTTTACACTTTATCTGTTTTGTGGGCCTTGCTGCGACGCGGCATTCTGTTCATGATTGCTTGCAGCCTGCGTGCACTCATGGTCTCGAAGCCGGAGGTTTGCGAACTCCCGTCCCGTACTCGAATTGGGCTGGATGCAATCTTCTCGAGCAGCCTACATGCAGCTCCCCTTCCGTACTCGAACTAGGTTGTATACAGTTTGCTCGTTTGCCGCACCTGTCAGCACTGACTGAGGCGCTGCGCCGCTCAACGCTGCGCGCGTCTCCGCTCGCGGACGCAAACATCCTATTCCCATCGGAAAATTGGCCGATATGGGAGTTTGGCAAGCAACACCCTCCCTTTTCCTGGTAATTTGATGCGTGCTTTCAACATTGTCGCTGGCAGTCCCAAAAAATGAACAAACCAGACGGTGGCTGTCACGCTTGGCGACACGGTTCATATTTCTTGAGGTTCGTTCCCCATTGTCAATCCCTGTGATTTTCGCCAAGTTGTTTTCCCCAGCAAAGGATCCCTGAAAAGAACGGGGAAGATATCCCCAGCATGTTGACTGCAACGGAAAACGGCCGAAGTCTGGCGCCGTGAGGGGTGCGCAAATGCGATGGAATTTGAAAGAGGACGTCTTTGGTACCCGATGTCCAACCTAGCAGTGGACAAAATTTGGGGTTTTGTCTTCCAAAACCCTCGTGTCCACCCACTTCCATGATTGTCGGAAAGAGGTTCTAGTAGGTAGAAGATGGCCTTGGCACAGGCGGGTTTTGGCTTTTTGTACTTGCCGCCAAATAGAACCAATGGCACCAGACTGATAGGCGTCCCGCACTGGCCAACGTCACATGAAGATTGAATCTGTGTATTGCGAGCTGGGGCAAAGCGAGCTGATGGAGGTGTACCTGTAGTTCAGATTTGAGGAACAGTAAGGCTTGCAGAAGGCACCTGGAGCTGAAGATTGAACCTGGCGGCTTTCAAGTAAGTGGCTTGCCGTTAAAGATTAAAACAGAGAGGGAGCTTCCACCAATTGTTTGCCCCATGTAGTTCCATTCTCCGGTCTGGATATGTAATCTTCGGGGCTCAGGCGGTGGTGTCATTGCAGTTGCCCGTGGACCGTGATTGGAACGCCCACAGTGAGACCATCACCTCCCTGCCGCAGGAGGTGAACCTGGTGTTTGTAGGCGCGAAGACACCCCTTGGCCCCCAAACAGAAGATTGGAACGCTCTGTTTGGCTGGGTGCACTGATTGGTGTCTGTCCCCCAAAATGATGGTGTTCCTTAAGCCTTTGGTTTCCCGAGTAAACCACAAACATGGGATACCCTCAAAACATACCCCTATTGTGAAAAGGAAATGTAGAAGGAACTTCCATGTCGCGGCAACTTTTTAAAAGCTAGCTTTTTGACACAGACGAGAAGAGAAGAATAGGCATGCAAGAAGAAAGGCGCACGCGCGTGACGGGGGAACAGAAATGTGAAAAAATGCAACCTTCTCTGGGTTTTGGTGGTCTGGGATGCTCGAAAGTTCGCATGATCGGGACGCTGGTCGGACGACGTTCGGAGCAATCTCAGAGCCAACCCATTGGCACTGGCACGCACTTTTCACAGCATTTGTGGCAGCCGCAGCACTTTCGAAAGGTCAGCAGCAGATTAGGTGGCACGCGCAGCACTTTCACAAGGTCGGGCACAGACTTCGTGGCAGGCACAGATCTTTCGCAAGGTCAGGCACAGATTTCTCGGCAGGCGCCGCAATTTCCCAAGGTCGATAGATAGATAGATAGATGGAAAAATAGTTAGGTAGAAACAGAGAGAGAGAGAGAGCGAAAGAAAGAAACAGAGA